TTTTTTTTTTTTTTTTTTTCTTTTCCCCTTTAGTATATGATTTCTAGCCCTTATAAAACTTATCAAGGGATTACATTTGATTGCCACTTTGGCAAAGTCTCCTAAAATTAACTACAGTTCCCTAGGAATTAGAACAGAAATATGTTACCCACTTGAATAAAATTGCATCTCGATGGTGTGGAAACTGAAGGAGCCAATGAGAAAGACTGTAAGAGATTCTGGGAAGATAATCCCAAAGGCAGTACATCTCTCTGACATAACCTGAGGACAGACTTGGAGTTCTTGTGAAGTTGGAAGAAGGAAGCCTGAGGCATAAATACCAAAACATGTGGTTGTGGACGTTTATGAGCATGAATGTTCTCGTAAAACCTTAGCAGAACTGGCTTTAAGGGATTTATCATCCAGAGGATCTTGAATCATCTGCTGATGTCTTGGTAATTGCATTTGCTTTTCTAGCTTGAAAAATGGCTGCCATAGTCTTAGAACTCTTATCAAGACTATGAGATCAAGTTCCCTAAAAAACTTCCAATATATTTGGGAGTCCCATAGAAATGAAAACTAGGAAGAGTTGCTCAAACTCCCCCCACTTGCACCCCTTCCAAAACCTATATTCCTCTTAAACACCAAAACTGCTTAAGGTTACTATCTGGGATAGTTTATCATCTGAACAAGCTCTGGCCAGGTGAGATGTTGTAGATGCAGGGTGGAGTGGATATTGATATATTGCTAAATCAAAATTTTATTCTTTCTTTTAAAAAAATTTACTTCAAGTTTTTCTTTTTCTGGAAACAATTTAGTTTTCACCTCAGTAAATTAACATGGCCTTGGCTCTGGGATTGAAGAAACCCACAATAGAGCTATTTTAAGAATTGATGATTCAGTCAAGACCATCTGAGGACAAGTCAGTAGTGTATAACCCTTTGTACTGGGTTATACATGACGTCCACTAAAATGACCACTTTCTCCTGATCAGTTTGTGTGTGAGTAAAATCTGTGACTTAGGTATTTGTTAGCATTTTTCTTTGATGCAGATCATAAGTCCTGCTTGTGAATTTTATTTAAAAAAAAAAATTGGATTTCAAGTCTGGCATTTGTCCTGAATGTTAGTACATGTTTACTTAGTAAAGAACAAAACTTTTTTTTTTATATTCTTTATTTTGCTCTTCTTTCTCTCCTTTTCCTTCTGTTTCTCTTCCCCTTGTTGTTTCACCTTTTCAGATTTCCTTCCCCTTCTTCTCTTCTCTCCCTTCCCTTCCTTCCCCTCCCCTACCTTCTCCTCTCTTCCCTTTTCCTCTCTTCTTGTCTTCCTTTGTCCACTCTCCTGCCCTGTCTCTATACAAATGCTTTTTGGTGCCTCATGTTAGGGACACGATACATATAGAAGTAAATAGATCATAAGACTGGTAAAGCAGAAAACTCTATAAAGCATTTATTTGAATGCTGACTGTTGCTTACAATTTTCAGGAACATTCCACACTCAGTCATAGAGGTAACTATAGAAGGGTTTGGAAAGGTTACATTACCTATGGTTGAGAATATGGCTTTAGACATGAATGAATGAAATGGATAAACAAAAATTTACCACAAAAGCCAGTAAGAAAACAAAATACATATTAAAATCTTATGTTAAGGATTTGTATACTAGTTGGCTATGG